AAATCTGAAGACTCAGAATGGACTCAGCAATAAAAGTGCACTGAAGAATTGCCACATTCATGAAAATGCTCTCACAGCCTGCTCTTCTCCCTGTAGCCAACTAATTACTAGTTCCTGCCGACTCCATGCAGGTGAGACAGAAATGACTTCCTCACATCTTGCGAAGTAACGTTACCGTTTTTTTCCATCTTGCGTCCTCAAATGCCAAGTTCAGCTAAGAAGTCTGTATCTTAAGAAGCCATATTTAGAGGGACAGAAACACCCATTTAAAATCAAGACCGTTAAATTCGCATCATTCATTGCTAATGTCCAGTGTTGGCAAAGATGTGAAGACATGAAGACCTTCATGAAATGACTAGTGAGAGAGAATACTGGTGTGAACCTTTTGGAAGACAGTCTGGCACGATGTACCAAAAGTAACAATGTGTAGGTACACCTTTGACACAGAAATTATTTTCCAGGGTGCCTGGGTGGCTCAGTCGTTAAGTGTCTGCCTTCGGCTTAGGTCATGATCCCGGGGTCCTGGGATCGAGCCCTGCATCGGGCTCCCTGCTCCTTGGGAAGCCCGCTTCTCCCTCTCCTTCTGCTCTTCCCCTGCTTGTGCTCTCTTGCTCTCTCTGTCAAATAAATAAATAAAATCTTAAAAAAAAAAAAAAGAAATTATTTTCCAGAATTTATAACAAGGAATATAATTATCTGTAAGGATGTAGATACAAGGATGTTCATTATAGCATTTCTTATGATAGCAAAAAACAAAAACAAAAACAAAACAACCACAAGAGGGGAAAAAATAATCAGTTAAGTAACACAGTACAGCCACATAATAAATTCCGTGTAGTTAATATATAAGGTATTATATGTCTATCTCTATATTACTTTTTTTTTTTTAAAGATTTTATTTATTTGACAGAGACACAGTGAGAGAGGGAACACAAGCAGGGGGAGTGGGAGAGTAAGAAGCAGGCTTCCTGCGGAGCAGGGAACCCGATGCGGGGCTCGATCCCAGGACCCTGGGATCATGACCTGAGCCGAAGGCAGACGCTTAACGACTGAACCACCCAGGCACCCCTATATTACTTTTTAAGTGTTATAGTTTATACTTAAAAAGTACTGATCTTTTTTTTAAAAAGATTTATTTACTTATTTATTTGAGAGAGAGAGAGAGAGTGAGGGAGGGGCAGAGGGAGAGAATCTTCAAGCAGACTCCCTGCTGAGCATGGAGCCCAACTCAGAGCTCAATCTCACAGCCCATGAGATCATGACCTGAACTTAAATCATGAGTCAGACACTTAACCGACTGAGCCACAAAGGTGCCCCCAAAAATGTACTGATCTTAGGTGTACAGTTCATGAGTTGTGAAAATCTCATACAAACCATGTAGCCAACATCCAAAACAAGAGATAAAACATTCCATCATCCAGCAAGTTCCCTCATGTTTCTTTCCAGCCAATCCCTACCCCCAAACAACCATTTATTTTTTGAAAAGAAAGACCTTACTTCTAAGTAATCTCTACACCCAACATGGGGCTCAAACTCACCACCCCAAGATCAAGAGTCACATGCTCCACCGACTGAGCCAGCCAGGTGTCCCAAATAACCACCTTTTGATTTCTATCACTATAAATTATTTTTGCCTGTACTTTACATAAATGGACCCTCCTAATGCATTTAAGGGAAGGGTGCTTTGGTTTAACCATCTTCTGATTCAGAGTCTTTGACCTCTCTCTCCTTCCTAGGAGCTGGAGCACCAGTGGGAGCCTGAAGCCATCACCCACCACCACTGGAGACCTAACTAAGCAGGAGTCAAGGGGATGCCACAGGGAAAATAGTCAAGAAGCCACTGGTTATGAGCAGTGCTCTGGGAAGTGGGAAGCAATAACCCCCAGGACACTCTTCCTTAGGTTTATCTTTCCTTATTTCTTCCTTCTTTCAGGGTAGTAAAAAATGACACTTCTGGAATAAAACCCAGCTAAAACAAAGGATTAGGATTTGGGGAGCAAAATCCCACTTGGAGAGAGCCCTGGGAGAAACCGCAGGACAGCTGCAAGTCCACCCCACACAGAGCCAGCAGAATCCCAGCAGGACTACACGTTTGGGTCTGAGCCCACAGCAGGCTGCTCCAGGACCTGAAACAACAGGGCAGCTGAGAAGCTTGTGTGCAAAGGCTCACAGGGAAAACAGGCTCCTGACCTGGGAGAGGGATTTACATCCAGAAACGAAGGTGTTTACTTCACCACAGGCAGACCTACGGGGTACAGGCTCTGAGCAGAAGGTTCCAGACACTGATGAAGGGCAAGGCATTCACTCTCTCTAGGTTCTTTTTTTTTCCCCCCATTTCCTAGTCAAGGCTGAAATGCCGTTACATTTCTCTAGAAGAAACGGCATCAGGCCCTTGATCCTGCAGAAATGAGCTGACGAAAAAGAAGGCTGCAGCCGCCGTCAGATTCAAGATGGATTCCCAAGACCTGGGGAATTCAAAGGCGAAAAAAGGCATTTTGCAGTTCTCAGCAGACGTGGTAGGGCCACGCCTCCTTGGAATGAGGCTGGCAGGGAGGTGACAGCCCTAGGCCTGCTCCCACACCAGTTTCATCTCTCTCCCACCCCCCTCACGCTGGAAACGCCACTGAACCTCTCCCTCTGCCAAGCTGCCAGGAGCCCCAGAACTTGCTTGGGGGCAGCCCGGGGGGCGGGGCCAGGACATTTGCAAGCTCTCGGGAACTAGAACCCTTGCAACTGCATTGTCCTCTCTCGCTGGGGACATCCAAAGAGGCCCACCTGCAAGCAGCTCTGAAATCTAGCTCAGACTCTGCAAAGTACAACCAACACCTGGTCGCAGGAGTTCTTGGAATTCCGGAACCAGGACTCAGATCCTGTGGTTCCAGACAAACACCGGATAACTGCTGAGACCCCAAAACGTGCTAAGCCTCTGCCCCAGCTGAAGTTCGCTGCTGTTCCTGTAGCAAGTATGATGCTTAGAGACATTCAGTATCATCGAGAAAAGTCCCCCATCAGCTTTTACGAAGTGATAACCCGAGACCTCCAAAGGAGAGGTCACGAGAATGACTGCCCTCAGATACGGGCCTTCTTTTGAAGTGATGGAGGTATTCTGAAATTAGATAGTGGTGGTTGTTGCACAACTTTGTGAATATACTAAAAACCACTGAATTGTATACCTTGACAGAGTGAATTTGATGGCATGTGAATTATATCTCATTAAAAAAAAGGGGGGGGTCACTAAATAATTACAACAAGTAGAAGAAAGAGAAGCAGAGTCAAGATCAAGATTTTGTTCCAGGAAGACTGGCTCTTATTAGGCTGACATCTCTTTGGCCCTTGCATAAAATATTTCTTTCTTCTTCTCCTCCTCCTTCTTCTCCTCCTCCTTCGTATTTTTTTTAAAGTCAAATGCATCCTTGGGAACTCGAGTGATAGATACAATGATAAACGTTTTTCCCCAGCCAACTCCCGCAGCCTTGAAAACACAATTTCGGGTATCATGTCCTCCAGAAAGTTCCCGGATCCCTTCCCCACTTCCAAGATAAGAGCCCCCAAGGATTCCAGATCCCCTAAGTGCCCTTTGCTCACCTATGACTAACACCTTATACTGAAATTAGCTGTCTGCCCTCAGCTCCCACTGGCACCGCCTTGGCACATGAGAGGTATGTGAGAAATGTGTCCTGACCGAACTCAACACCCTATCACCATCTTGTTGGGCTTCTTAAAAATGGGCACGTGATGGGATGAGCACTGGATGTTATACTGAACCTATGAATCATTGAACATTACATCAAAAGCCAATGATGTACAATACCTTGGCTAATTGAATTTAAATTTAAAAAAATTTTTTTAATTCATACTTTTTTTAACGCATCTACTTTAATTCTGCAGCACTGCACTTCTGCAACCATATAACAAGCCATTTGCTACCAAAAACAACAGTGTATCATAAAACATTTTCTCAGAGGAAATGCAGTTCATTCATGCCAAGAATAAATCAAGTGGACCCCATGAGGGATTTCTACCTCGGTACAGGTCAAGAGGGAGAATGAATCAGAGCATCAGAACCCGTGCTTCCTGGTGGGTAAGGAGATAAAACATGTTCTCCTCTCCCTTCCTTTTCCCCGAAAACCTTTAAATATCACAAAGCTTTTAAGCAGAGTCATTAAGTCTATGCAAAGCCATCCCAGAACCAGGAGTCTTTTCCTGCCTTTCCTCTTCCTTACTGTTCCTAGATTTTCTTAGAAAACCAAAGAGCTATAATGTCATGACATGCTGTACACAAAGTTCAGTCAAGAGTTTCAGGGCCCACTGAAAATTAGGATTTTGCCCACCCATTGTATTCAACCAACATGTGCCCAAAGAGTCAGAGCTGCTGAGATCCAAAACGTTGCTCTCCTTGCCCCGCTGATTCCTCTGAGAGGTTAAGTCCCATCTCTAACCCAGCACCACTCTGAGCTCCCGGAAGCCAACATCACAATGCCCGCCCCCCTGGGCCCTTAGTGCGCAGTGTGCACCATGGGGAGCGCCAGAGTCACCCCAAGAACACCCCAGCTGGAGTGACAGAAACCTGCAGATGGTACACCATCTCTGAGAGCCCCTCCTTGTTTGGTAGAAAATGTTCAAATGCACAGAACAAGAGAAAGAATATTCCGGTGAACTCCCACAGACCCACCCCCCCACCCCCAAGACTGAACAACTCACAGTTTGTCAGTTAGGATCCTTTAGAGATCATAATAACACTAGATACCTCATAATACCCCTAAATACTTCAGCATGCATCTCCCAAAGTGAGAATATCATCCCCAGTATCACGATGCCGTGACGCCAGCTAACAAAAGTAACAACAGTTTCCTAACACTAACTAATACTCAAATTTCCCTCGTGGACCTTCTGAAAGGAGAGTCCCTCCCTTAAATGACACCCTGTCCCGGTCCTGCCCTCTCCCTCCTCCACAGGCCAGACACCTGTCCCGCCATCGTGGCGGCCCCCTCCTCGAGTACCTGTGCAAAAGCTGCCATCATTGGGAATGAATGTTTTGTTGTTGTTTGTGGCTCGATATCCTTCGAGGCAAACACAGTAAAAGCCTCCGAGCGTGTTGTGGCAAGATGTGTGGTTTCCGCAGACCACAGCAGCTCCAAACTGGCACTCGTTTTTATCTGTTGAAATGTTGAGACAACACACAGAAAGGGCTATCAATCCATACCATGTTCAGCAACCCAGACTGTTCTCCTGTGCTATAGACTCGGGAGTTGCTATTCCGTGACAACATCTCAAGGGTCTATTTCCCCAGCCTCTTCTCTTTCCACGATGCTTCTCAGACTGCAGGGCGTGGGACCCTGGTAGTCGTGCGCTAGGTGTATATGAAACCACAAGAGAGGGGCCCCTGGGTGGCTCAGTCAGTTAAGCAGCCGACTCTTGATTTCGGCTCAGGTCATGATCTCAGGGTCATGAGATTGAGCCCCACATTGGGCTCTGCACCGAGCACAAAGTCCACTGAAGTTTCTCTCTCCCTCCACGCCCCCCTACCGCCCCCCGCACACTCATGCCCACTCTAAAATAAATAAATAAAATCTTAAAAACACACACACAAGAGAAACCCAACATCTTAATCTGAACATCATCTTATTTGAAGATTGGGAGAAGGGGACTGCACATTCCCCCATCAACCGTGTTAATCTGTCATTATATACTATTCCAGCTCTGTCTTCCAAGCTGCATACTGTTATTCTTTTTCAATTTCTCCATATTCAAAAAGATCTTGGGAAAGAAACAAATCTAGGAGCATCCCATTTTTCCAGCTCAGCTAGCCATTCTCTTGCTTTTTTCATGAAAGGCAGACCAGGACGATTTTGCATCCAGTGATTAACCGGAAAATTTGTTACTTCTGAGTTACCAGGAAACACAATGGAATTAGTGCTTAAGCCTCATCCGGGAGCAGAGCTAATATGGTGGCAGGAACAGCTCCTGCTAATCGTCAATGACCCATGTGAATAATATTAGTCACCCAGTGAGAAGGAGCTGAAGTATACGATGCCTGATGAGTCTGCAGAGGCCTGACCTGAGTATTTTTAATTCAGTCATTTGACATAGATGTCAAATGAAAGTAAATCTCCCTCCTGTCTCTGTCCTGTAGCTCAGGGCTTAGCGAACCTTTTCTGTGATGGGCCCATCAAAGGTCTCCGGTGGCAAGTGTTCACCCATGCTTTTGGAACACAAAGCAACCACAGACAATAAGTAAACAAACGAGCAATGCTGTCTTCTAATAAAACTCTATTTACAAAAACAGGCAGCGGCCAAATTTGGCCCGCAGGCCTCTGTGACTCTGCTCTGGCCTCTACCATCAGAACTCCTGTGACCAATTTCTTATGCATTCTTTCAGAGCTGATCTCCCCTGCTGGTGGTTTGGTTTGGTTTTGTTTTGGGGGGGCGGGATCACCAATTTATGAACTGGAGTTTTTTCTGACTGTTAGTGTTTTACTGTTCACCTCTCACAACTGCACTCAATTCCTGCCAACTCCCTTTCTCAAAATCTGGTGTTCCTTCCTCCACCGCCCCCCATTCTCCTTATAGGCGTTACCTTTTGGAAAATGTAACTGAACACAGAACACACTTCACTGTTAACACTGTCCGTGTTGAGATCTGCCTGGGAGCTGAGAGAAACAGCCCTCAAGCCACAGCCTGGCCAAGTGTCCAGCCCAGCTTATGAGCACTGCACGGGGCTTTCGGACACAAGTCCATAATGGCACATTCCAGTCCCTGGCTGTTATTTCTGAGATAGGGCCTCCCCTGCAGACTTCACCAGAAGGGACAGTGGGTTTGTAGAGAATTCTAAATTTCTGAGGTCTCTTGACTGCAGACCACGTTACAGCACGTGGGGCACACAGGTAATGTCACCTGTGACCTGCGGTGTGGTCTCAGAAGGCCGTACTGGGCGCCTGGGTGGCTCAGTCGTTAAGCGTCTGCCTTCGGCTCAGGTCATGATCCCAGGGTCCTGGGATCGAGTCCCACATCGGGCTCCCTGCTCGGCGGGAAGCCTGCTTCTCCCTCTCCCACTCCCCCAGCTTGTGTTCCTGCTCTCGCTGTCTCTCTCTGTCAAATAAATAAATAAAATCTTTTAAAAAAAAAAAAGAAGGCCAAGTACTGGCGTAGGCAGTGTCTAGTGTCCGCGAGCAAGCACCACATAAATCAATAAGCCCCTTCGCCCCATTAAGAGAAGTTCCTCTTCAGAAGTCCAAGAGCAATCAAGAGTGTGGTGAGCTTCCGCAGGAGGGGGACTGCCTTCGGGGAGGGAGCAGAAAAGGCTTGTTCGTGCTCAATTCCAACCTCATTTCCAAGCCCCTGCTAGCAAGCCGTGGGAGGAGAGGGGTTCGAGAGATGCCTCAGGAACCTAGACTGTAGGGTAGCCACAATTCTCCTGGGCAGAATCCCAAAGAGAGAGGGTCGGCGGTGGCACAAATCCAGCCCGCAGGAACGGGAGATGGTGTGTGCCTGTGAAAGCTCGTATCTGCGAAGGAGAATATGACTTTTGGAACTGGGAATTTTTATTTTGCTTTGGGAAGAAAAAAAATCCAAAGATATCACAAGGCTGTATACACCGTCAGTGCACAACCGCAAGGCAAACTGTCGGTATTTGCACTGCACGTAACAAGGCTGTCGGGAGGACGCCGTGATCCTCCTAACGTTCACTACTACAAACGTGCCGTGAGGTTTTCCCTCTCTCCGAACTGGGCTTGAACCTGGATACTGCCCGACTCTCACGGCACGGAGGAGACCGTGAAGCCAAAAAATAACCTCAGATACTTCCTAAAGGTCTTTGTATTCCTTTAAGGCACCCAAGACCCCAAAGGGCTACAACTACAAAAAATTTTGAGAATGGATTCTGGTAGACATAAGACCCAAAGCAGGACTACTTCACTAGTTAGCCAGAAAGTCCAATAGGCAACTGTGTTTTGTCTCTCCTCAGGGTACTAATACAAATCGTTTGACATCAGAACAACCAAGAGAAATTAAGGAAGGCAATATTCACTCAAATTGTTAAGTTAAACTCAAGACTTGAAACAGATTTCAAATTTGTGTTGGGTCAGAGAATTTCCAGAGATTCAAGTTCAATGTCCCTCAAACACGAAAGATACTTTCTTGGAAAGGCTGCAGAAAGGCTACATCCAAACACTAAAACAAAGGTGTATTATAATGGACAAAACTTCTTGTAATAAAAACATGTGAACAAAACAACGTTTTCCCCAGAAGGACGTTAGCTCTTTAACACTAGGGAATCTCGTTACTTGATTCAACTTTTCAACTTCACCCAGGATTCAGAACTTACCAATACAGTAAGTCCTCCCATTGCCCACAAATCCATATTTGCAAACACACATCTTCATCCCTTCTGTTTGCTTGCAGGTAGCGTGTTCATGGCAAGTGGCACAGATATCTAAACCGGAATCATAAATTGTAGATGAAGGAAAAGAAAAATTCAATCACCTCCTCTAGACAAGTCACATTTTGGGTAGTAGACATTTACAATGGAGAAGCAAAATTTGAATAGCAGAATTATAAAAGGCAGAGCTGATCCCAACCTTAAAAACCTGCAAAGGCTACTCACTGCCCACAGAGTAAAGTACAAATACCTCTACCAGGCAATCAAAGCTCTGAACAGTCCCGACTCTAAGCTAACCCCTCCAAGCCTCACTGTTCCCAAACCCAAACCACACACAATATTCTCTAGGGAGGAGGCTGACTACCCCTTCCCATGCACGCTGTCCCCTGTCCTACCTCATGCCGCAGTCACGATGTGCCCTTCAAGTAGAATGCCTATCCCTCCTTCTCCGCCCAGCTAGCACCCATTCCTACTTTAAGATTCACCTTAAACATCACATTCTCCCTGGTATCGTCCCCATTCCTCCATTCTTGTGAAAAATTAAATTCCTCTGTGCTCCACTAACACTCGCATATTCCCACGTCAGCCGTGTTAATTTGTCATTATATACTGTTCCAGCTCTGGCTTCCAAGCCGCAGATCGTGCATGAGCTTCTCCCCCAGGACAGGGATCATGTCATTTGCCCATATATCATCATGCCACAGTATAAACATTCAAGATACTTTTACTGACCGACCGGATAAAGGAACTTGCAGTCCTACTTGCCACAACTCAAAAAGCAAGTGGAAGGGAGAAGAGCTCATCTGTCTATTACCCCATCTGTGTTTCTTTTAGGGAAAAACTGAATGTGTTTAAAATGTCAGTGAGATGAACAGCCAGGTCCCAGCAGATGACCAGATCCCAATTACTTCGACAGGCAGCAAAAATGTATGAGGCCAACACAGACAAACCTACCAGAGGATGACTGATATATGGCCCAAGGTCAACCAAGGACGTCCACCCGAGGCTACGTGGGCCGCCATGCTGTCCTCCCAGTGGAGGATTTTAGGAGAGGCCCTCGTCAGGAGAGTCTTCCAGCGTGGAATTCCATCTTCGTCTTGGCCCCACGACTACCCAGGTAATAAAGACTCAGCCCTCAGGTTGCTCTAGGCAACTGAGACAGGGAGATTTCCAAGTACAGACAGCCCCTGACTTACAATGGTTCGACTTACAATCTTCCAGCTTTACAACGGTGCAAAAGCGATACACGTTCAGTAGAAAGCATACTTCAAATTTTGAATTTTGATCTTTCCCCGGACTAGGGATATGTGGTGTGATCCTCCCCCGTGAGGCTGGGCAGTGGCAGTGAGCTCCAGCCCCAGCCAGCCACGCGATCACAGGGGCAAACAACCGATAAACTCACAACCGTTCTGTACCCGCACGACCACTCTGTTTATCACCTTCAGTATAGTATTCAATACATCACATGACATAGTCCACACTTTATTATAAAACAGGCTGGGTGTCAGGTGATCTTGCCCCACTGTAGGTGAACATGTGTTTTGTGCACATTTACGGTAGGCTAGGCTGAGCTATAATGTCTCATAGGTTAGGAGTATTAAACGCATTTTCGATTTATGAGATTTCCAAGTTATGATGTAACCCAATTGTAAGTTCGGGAAGATCTGAACTGATTGTTAACCATGCCTGCTTTTTCTTTCTTTCTTTCTTTCTTTCCTTTTTTTAAGATTTTTATTTATCTATTTGAGAGAGAGAGATAGTGAGAGTAAGAGGAGAGGCGGGGATCAGGGAGAGGGAGAAGCAGGCTCCCCGCTGAGCAGGGAGCCCAATGTGGGGCTCTATCCCAGGACCCTGGAATCATAACCTGAGCCGAAGGCAGACGTTTAATCATCTGAGCCACCTAGGCTCCCCCTGCTTTTTCTTTTAAAATAAATATAACACAGGGCACCTGGGTGGCTCAGTTGGTTAAGCGACTGCCTTCGGCTCAGGTCATGATCCTGGAGTCCCTGGATCGAGTCCCACATCGGGCTCCCTGCTCGGCAGGGGGTCTGCTTCTCCCTCTGACCCTCCCCACTCTCATGTACTCCCTCTCTCTCATTCTCTCTCTCTCAAATAAATAAATAAATAAAATCTTTAAAAAAATAAAAAATAAGATAAAAAATAAAACAAATATAACACAGAAATGAGACAAACCACTGTTTATCCCTAAGTAATACTAAATTAACCATGGAATATTTACAAAATTTATTATATCGCAGACCATTAAAAAAAATGCAACCAAGTGCAAAAAAAAGTAGAAACTGTAGAAGTCATACATGACTACCATGTAATAATGTAATAAGACTACAAAATAAAACATAAGACTAGCATTCCCAAAAGAAACCTACTTGGAAACTACAGAACACTCTCCTAAATAATTCTTGGGACAAAAAGGATAGCCAAATTGAAATGTTTGGGGGCACCTAGCTGGCTCATTCGGTAGAGCACGCGACTCTTGATCTCGGAGTTGTGAGTTTGAGCCCCACGTTGGGTGTGGAAATTACTTAAATTTTTTTTTAATTGAAATGTTTAATACTAGATATAAAAATGTATCCACTCTAGAAAAAGTTTTTCATGTTTTTGTACTTTAAAAGACAGAAAGAAAAGCAGGCAGCCCGAGGGTGGGGGGAAGCCTTAGAATTTTAACACAAGAAATTTGGGGGGGGAAATTCCTTAAAAAGAGGCAGCCAGGGGGTCCTGGGTGGCTCAGTCGTTAAGTGTCTGCCTTCGGCTCAGGTCATAATCCCAGAGTCCTGGGATCGAGCCCCGCATCGGGCTCCCTGCTCGATGGGAAGCCTGCTTCTCCCTCTCCCACTCCACCTGCCTGTGTTCCCTCTCTTGCTGTCTCTCTGTCAAATAAATAAATAAAATCTTAAAAAAAAAAGAGGCGCCAGAGTGACTCAGTCAGTTAGATCAGGTCATGATCCCAGGGTCCTGGGATGGAGCCCCGCATCAGTCTCCTTGCTCAGCAGGGAGTCCACTTCTCCCTCTCCCTCTGCCCCTCCAGCAACCCCCCCGTCCCCCTGCTCAAGTTCGTGTGCGCTCGCTCTCTCTCTCATGCTCTCTCAAATACATAAAGTCTTTAAAAAAAGAAAGAAAGAAGAAAGGAAGGAAGAAAGGAAGGAGAAAGAAAGAAAGAAAAAGAAAGAAAGAAAAAAGAAAGAAAGAAAGAAAGAAAGAAAGAAAGAAAGAAAGAAAAAGAAAGAAAGAAAAAAGAAAAAGAAAAAGAAAGGAAGGAAGGAAGGAAGAAGAAAGAAAGAAAGAGAAAAAGAAAGAAAGGGGGCGCCTGGGTGGCTCAGTTGGTTAGGCGACTGCCTTCGGCTCAGGATCGAGTCCCGCATCGGGCTTCCTGCTCAGCGAGGAGCCTGCTTCTGCCTCTCTCTCTGCCTGCCTCTCTGCCCACTTGTGCTTTCTCTCTGTGTGTCAAATAAATAAATAAAATCTTTAAAAAAAAAAAAAAAGAAAAGAAAAAGAAAGAAAGAAAGAAAGGGAAAATAGAGGGTTTGGGGGGGTTGGGGGTCAAGAATTAGTAAAGAAACAAAGTATTAGAAATTACATCCAAATTCTTGAAAAAAAAAGTTTCCCCAAAGTCAGTGCATCATAAAGACCAGCAGCAATGACTCAAGGGTACTGGTTAGAGGAACAAAGAACATATGCAAACACATAACATTAGGAATATGAAAGAGCTTGTAAGAAAAAAATACATAAAAGTTTTTTTATTACAGATGAAAGACTTGCAGTTAAACATTGCAGATTTAGTACACTCTCAAAGCTCCACCTCCCCGAATGACATCAAGGACCAGAAAGGTATAAACTCTGGCAGACAAGATGACAGCAGATGAGGATGTCAACAATATTTCAGAAGAGGGAAGAGAATGGACATACAGGAATGGTTTGAGAGGAAGAACTAAAAGCCGGCCCCAAAGGCAGGAATTGGGGCCACTGAGTACTTCAGAAGGCAGGTGTCAGGGACAGGACTCAAAGTTCAAGGAACTAGGTACAAACACGGTTAAGGAGTAGGTAGATACCCCATTCTCCTCGTTAACCCTGGCATAAGATGGAGTTTACATCCTGGAGGATGTAAACCCTGGAGGAAATGGACCAGAGAGGCCCCTGACTATAGGGGCAACAGGCAGAGCTGAAGTGAGAACGGGTCGCCGTACCTAAATGTCCATCAGTGCGGAATAAATATACGTAACCATTTTAACATTTTAACACATAACATTTTTAAATGGTGCCACAGGACACTATCAATTCATAATCACACGCAACCAAAATCCTGGAAATACCCTTTAAATAACAGATCCTGGGTGAAGTCCAATAAATCCAGTGTGACCAACCATATAATGATGAACACTCTCCCCAGTGTGTACATATAGTGCAATAACAAAACATAAATACCATATTTATGAAATCATCAACAACAGAATGGTAAAATGTTTGATTTTTTTTCTAATATGGAATATTTGTCTTTTTAAAGATGGCAGCATTTATATACGTCCAGTTCCAGAAACTTACCTCAGATGGGAAAAAAAAAAGGATTATTTCATTCAACTGTTGAGTGAATCTAATAAACACACACACAAAATTAAGAAATGAAGTAGTGCCACCCACTCAGATAAATTAACGGAAGTCCAGTCTGAATTAGTGAAGGACAGAATGTAAAGTTTTTTAAATAAATTGAATTAAGTTCAAGTTCATTCAATAAACAGAACCAAACAAAATAAGGCCTTGTAAGAAGGCAGCCAGATACAGGGGAAAAGCAAGCACTGGAGCTGAGTGTCAGAATTAGATCCTAAATCTAGCCGAGTCTAATTCATTGTACAACCTTTAACAAATCACTGAACCTCTCTGGATCCCAATTTTTTCATCTGTAAAACAAGGGATTTGGGCTTCTCAAATTTTAAAGGGCATTCAAGGGCATCTGGATGGCTCAGGTCATGATCTCAGGGTCATGAGATCTCAGGGTCCTGGGAGTGAGCCCCCCATCAAGCCCCACTCAGCAGAGAGTCCGC